TGGAAGTTAGTACCTCTTGAATCCCCTTCACCTATTTCTCCTATCCTTTCTGGCAACTACCAGTTCTCTGTATTTATGAGTCTGTATCTCTTGTTTGTTCTTTCTTTTAAAGATTTTATTTATTTATTTGAGAGAGCGAAAGTGAGAGAGATCACAGAGGGAGAGAGAGACACAGACTTGCCATGGAGCAGGGAGCCCGACGCAGGGCTTGATCCCAGGACCCTGAGATCATGACCTGAGCTGAAGCTTAACCGACTGAGCCACCCAGGCACCCCTCTTATTTGTTTTTTCATTTGTTTTTCTTTTTAGATTCCACATAGAAGTGAAATCATATAGTATTTGTTTTTCTCTGTCTGATTTATTTCACTTAGTATAATACCCTTTATGGCTATCTATATCACAAATGATAAGATCCCATTCTTTTTCAGGGCCGACTAATAATCCACTCTGTGTGTGTGTGTGTGTGTGTGTGTGTGTGTGTGTGTGTGTGTGTACGTACCCCACACCTTCTTTATCCATTCATCTATTGATGGACACCAGCTGCTTCCGTATCTTTGCTATTGTAAATTATGCTGCAATGAACATAGGGACAGAGGATGTGAATAGACGTTTTCCCAAGGAGACATATTGTTGGCCCACAGAAAGAAATGATTCTCAACATCATTAATCATCTGGTAAATGTAAATCAAAACCACAGTGAAATAATACCTCACACAGGTCCAAATGGCTAATATCAAAAGGACAAGAAATAACAAGTGTTGGTGAGGATGTGGAGAAAAGTTTAGCTTTGTATGCTGTGGTGGGAATGTAAATTGGTGCAACCGCTGCTGAAAACAGGGTGGAGTTTCCTCAAAAAATAAAAAAAAAGTATTACCATATGATCCAGAAATTCCACCATGGGTATTTACTTAAAAAAAAACAGAAACAAAAACAAAAACAAAACACCTCAAACACTAATTTGAAAAGATATATTCACCCTCAGTCAAACTTCTGATATTTGATGGTGGATTGTACTTCCTGGACTATGTGAGATAGGTTCTATATTTCACCACTCAAATATGGATCTATTAGCCTTGATAGATGCTGGAGCAGGGTCAGTGGTGAGAGTTTCTGAGGACGTGAGGAACCCCAAACTAAGATTTATTCTTATGTATGGACATCCCATCTGATGAGTTATAAGAACACCAATGGGAAGGACAATACTTCCTCTCAGAGGGTAGTTTAGATTCTGCTTTAACATACGGATTGATGGACAATGAAATTTTCTTGCATAAAGCACCATCAGAAAAATGTGAACATGAGACATTTTAAGGTGGTAACCATACCCTCACTTTGGCTTGAAAAATCTCAATGAAGCACTCTTAGAATGCCTACCTCTGAGCATTATATTTTCCAGTGGGTTCTCTAAAATAAACTATTTATGGGTTATAGCTCTGATTTATTTTGGGGTCATTATGAAATATCTGCTATGAGTAACTATTGTTTCTTTTTTGAGATAGTGGGCTTATGGTCTATTTATGTCACTTTTAGTATGTGATTTTAAATCTTCTGATCTGCCTGTGGTAGAAAGCTTCTATTTGTTTTCTTTAACAGGAAGAAATGATCCAGTTCAGCAAAAGTCAAAACAGATTTCAAGAATTTAAAGGAGTGGAGTAGTGTCATGGGAACATAACCCTGTTTTAACCCAGATAATAAAATTATGATTTGATTTGTCAAATCAAATTTTTATTGCTCTTGACCCTTGTAGTTCCTTAATACTCATGGTGTGTCTGCTATGTGTACAGAACAATATTCTGGGGAAAATGGGGGATATAGGATATGTTAGCTGGAACAAGGGGCTTATAACCCTATTTGGGAAAATAACAAATATCTTTCTGAAATGTTAGAAAGAAATACAACAGAAAAAAAGACATTCATGGATAGCTGAGGAACGACCACAGGGCAATCATCAGTTAAATTGAAAATTTAGGAACAATCAGTGCAAATGCCAACAAAACTCTGGAGACCAAAATTTGCTGAACTAGCTTCCCATCATAAAGTAAAGATTTAGCGTTGGTTCTGTATCTTGATGTGTACATCTGATGATGATTTTGAATTCCTCTGAAAAGGATTTTTTAAATACAAGAAATGTTCTAATCAAACATAGATTTTAAAAAATCAAAACAAGTAGCACTCATGGTGTGTTATTTTTGAATCACAGCATGTCATTTTCATAGCTCTTTCCACATAGTATTTGCTCCTGCTTCATGCAAGCCCTATAAAAAAGACTGGAGCAGGCGTTTTTCCTGATTTACTGATGAGAACATCAAGACCTCATAAAGTTAAGAGATTTATCTCTGGTGCAGCACTGATAATATCCTAGGAGTTTTATCAACTATATTTTTCTTTATATTGTAGAATTGCTGATAGGGTTAGGTAGAACAGATGACTTAATAGCTTTATTTTCTGTATGATATCTACAAAGTACCTTTTCAGTACCTTGTTGAGTAAATGAAGGAAAATGAAATTACCAGCTATGGCCACTGCTTATATTGACAAGCTGTCTCTTTTATTTCTTTTGTATCTGGTTATTCTGTTAATTCAGTAGACAGTTAAGTAGCTTTATGTAGTCATCATCACATTGTCAAGTGCTATGGGAGATTTATAGGACCTGTGGATATAACGTCACGTGATAAAGGAGTTTTCAGTCAATCTGGGGAAAGATCAGATGCACTCAGGAAAATGTTAAGCCACCAACCTGGAAGGCATACCATTACTTCTCAAAATGAGGGGTGGCAGGGTGCTGTATCAGTGTTCTGACGCAGGAGTGATCCAGGTGAGGTGGGACTTCAGTGAGACTTTTACTGAGAGATTAGATTCCATGAGTGGGGAGAAGTAGGGAGGCATTGAGTGGAGTGAAGCTTGATTTAGGGAACATGGAGAAATGAATTTTGGAGGGGGAGGAAGTCATATAGAAAAATTTAAATGATAGGTTGAAGAGTTGGTGTCTGTAGGTGTTAAAAAGCCGTGAAAGAAATTTGTGTTTTGCTTAATTTCTCCATGCTATGAAGGAGCAATTTTGAGATTACCATCGCAGCACTGTGATGTATTACAATCCTGGGGTGTGGCTAAAAAACTAGAGGACTGACCAAAATTTATTGTTGTTGTGTTTTATATGAGGTTTATAAAGTGCTTTTAGCATACTTTGTATTTTGGTGAATTGTGAAATCCTAAATGAAACTGCTCATCCCCTTGACTATTGCTGCCTTTTTTTATATGGCGCCAAATTTGAGGCTGAGTGGGTCTGTCATTAGGATGATGAAGCTCTCTAGGCAAGAGCTCCTTTGTCAGGGAAGGTACAGCTTGCCACCCGGGTAGGTGCTTGATTACACTTTCCATGGAAGGTTCATGTGCTGTCGACACGAAAGAGGCAGGATTTTGTGCCTAATGGTTGGCCACAGGCAAGGAGACATTGTCAAGCAGTGGCTAGATGGTGCACTGTCAGGACATCAAGCCTTGACATCATCCCTCGCCCAAGTCTTACTCTGTTCTTGTAGGATATCCTCTGATATTTTTGCCAATCCTCATAAATTGAATTACTTTAGTTTCACTAATGAGAGCTTATTTCTAACATCATTTTAATTAAACAAACTACTAATTTCACCAATGAAGAGCTATTTCTGACATTCAGTGTGCTAAATAGCAAAACCTTTGGTGTTGATCAAGATATGAATAGTTGAAAGAGATATGGATGGCTGAACTGCTTGGCCAGGTCTGAAATGTGGCCCTTTCTTATGTGATTACTAGCCAATCCCAGGAATCTGAATTCTCAATTGGGGCCAATGTCCTAAATCTACAGATACATTGTATCTTACTGTCTATGCTGAATGATAGTTTGTGAATTTCTTAGATTGATTTATTAAACACATTATGGAAATAGCAATGCCTGTCCTCAGTTAACCCTGTTTACAGTCTCAACATGGTGATTATGATATATATATAGAGAGAGAGAGATATATATATGATATATATAAAAATATATATGATATATATATATATATTGTTTTGTTTTGTTTTTAATTTGCTCTTAACCTCTACCATACTGTTACTCTCTTTGCTTTACTTTATATTGATCAAAAGCTATAGGGAAATATACCTATAAGTAAGGAAAGTGTCACAAAGAGACCTAGGGCATGCATATATTATGTGCATGCATCCTAAAATGGTTAAACATGTTATTCTGAAATCCTAATGAGCAGTTTTCCAAGGTGTTTATAAGCCTCGAAGTGGCCTCCTTTGTAAGAGTTCCACTCTGCTCCCTGGCACTAAGTCTAGTTTTGAGCCTTCTTCTCATTCTGTCCAGATTCTGTTGGTCTGCAGCTAGGAAGCACTTTCTTTGCCAGAGGATCCCTGTCCAATTCTCTTATTCTTGGCAGGTTCATTTACTTTTTCATGGTTTCAGTCCTAAACAGTTCCCAGCCTGGACCCAAGATAAGTTGGTTTCCTAGGCATTTTGTTGTTGAAGGCAAGGACGCTAGTATTGTCCTGTGGGGCCCAAGTACAGCCTGTCCTTTGCCTTTGCTACAAGTGTTTAAACCGATGTTAAAGGGACATGATATTCAAATGTCTTAAAGATGCTAGTTCAGGGAGTTCTCTGATTGAATGTCTGGATTTTCTGATCTTATAATTCCTTGCAGACCCACATGGCATCTCTACCACTAAGAAAGACTTAGATTTTGCTTTAGAAAAGAAGTTAGGACAAGTATGGTCATGAAAATGAAATGACTGTGTGAAAGAATGTTTATATTATGAGTCTACATTAGATAGTATGCAATGTTATTTTAATGTTTTATATATATATATATATATACACACACACACATATGTGGGTATATATATATGTATATATATATATGATAGAAATGATGTAATAATCAAAAAAACTTCATTTTTTTCATAATTGAATTAAAATAGCTTTACATTTATTTATTTATTTATTTATTTTTCATTTTTAAATATAGCAAGATCAACTTTATACCTGGGCTGCAGTCAGCCAACCCACTCACTCACTGGATTACACAGAAGGGCAGTTTCCCAGGCGAGTCCCGTCTGTTTGGCCCCCATCGAAACCTCCTGATGAAGAACACAGGCCGAAGGATGCTGAAACAGGTGGGACCCCAGGAACAGTGCATGTTCTTCTGAAAGTGCGTAACATGAAGTACCTATACAGTGCTTACGGGGTAGTGAGTCTGCATTTCTCTTCCAAGTATTTCTTCGATTATGATCTGCAGCTATCTCAAGTAAAATCACTGGGAGTCTTGTTAAATTGTAAATTCTTATGCCCCACCTTCAGAATTTTAGGGAAGGGGACACTGGAATTATCCAGTTATTATTGTGTATACAAAAGTTTGTGAACTACCACTTCAGGAGGCCAACTGTAGCCACCACCTGAGATGATATGAGCCACATGTCCTGTGTGGACTGAGAACTCCAAAGGGAAATTTCTGTCTATTACCTTCAAAGGTGGTGTCCACCTCACTTCTCCACTCTGGCTCTCTTCCCTTACTGCTTTCCTTGTGCTTTTCTTGATCCTTTTCTTTACCTTCAGAGATAATGGGGACATAGAGATAAAAGGTTCATTAAATCTAAATTTTAAGTAATCTTTTCAAAACTGTACAGTGTTCAGATGTATTTATTCTTCTTTAAAATTTTTCTTTTTGGTTGTTTTTCTCTTTGCATCTTCTGTTGTCTTATTTTGTGTTATTGGCTGGGAAGATAGCATGAGATTAATATCAGCTTTCTATGGAGCCTGAAAGTGGGAGAACACTTTGTGTTTGTCTTAGGAATTAAGAATCGTATTTGTGTAATAATGTTTTATGAAATTTGGTTGTTTAATTCCTTTTTAAAAAAAATTTCCGGGCGCCTGGGTGGCTCAGTTGGTTAAGCG